GCATCTGGCCAGTAAACACTCAGCTCCATTACGTTGCCCTGATTCCACCCCACAAGGGATTATGGGGTTGTTAAAAGGAGATGATAATGATGATGATGATGATATACAAGTAATCTTCAACTTGTTCTGCTGAACAAAACTCCGCATTGGTGCCAGGAAGGGCATCCGGGCAGTAAACACTCTGCTAGCTCCATTCAGTTGCCCCAATTCCACCCCGCAAGGGATTATGGGGTTGTTCAAAAATGATGATACTTTTTGATGTCATCCATCCATCTTGTTTTAGATCTCTTTCATGGACGCTTTTGATGAAGCAGGATCCATTCTACGACCACTTTGGTCCATCTGCCCTCAGTTCTTCTTGCTACGGGACCAGCCCATTTCAATTCTTTTACAATTCTTTTGATGGCATCGTATATTTTCATTTGTTGTCTCATCCACGTGCAGGTCTATCTTGTCCTGTGATGCCGAACATGTATCTTTCCGTGGCTCTTTGAACCCGTTGTAGCTTTTGTCTCAATTGTGAGTTTAGTGTCCATGTTTCACTAGCCTACCTTAGAGCCAATAATAATAATAATAATTCTGGACTTTGAAGAGTTGGGATTAAAGCATTTTTTTCTCTATAGTCCTAGTGACCTCCAGTGGATGCGGTTAGATTTACACCCTGCTGCTTTTCCGAGGCATAACACTTTTAGTTTCTCAACTTTAATAATTTTTAAGATGTGTGTCTCTAAAAAGAAGAGACATCAATCACCCTGCCAACCAAAGTGCTTAGAGTCGAGGCTGTGGTTTTCCCAGTTGCAATGTATGGCTGTGAAAGTTGGACCATAAGGAAGGCTGAGCACCAAAGAATGGAGGCCTTTGAACTCTGGGGCTGGAAAAGATTCCTGCGAATCCCTTGGACCGCAAGGCCATCAGTCCCAGAGGAGATCAACCCTGACTGCTCTTTAGAAGGCCAGATCCTGAAGATAAAAGGCAAAGGCTTTGGCCACCTCATGAGAAGGAAGGACTCACTGGAGAAGAGCCAAATGCTGGGAAAGATTGAGAGAAAAAAAAGAAGAAGGGGACGGCAGAGACGGAGGGGGCTGGATGGAGTCACTGAAGCAGTAGATGTGAGCTTAAATGGACTCTGGGGGATGGCAGAGGACAGGAAGGCCTGGAGGAACGTTGTCCATGAGGTCGCGATGGGTCAGACACAACTTCGCAACTAACAACAACAAGACGTGTGGACTTCAACTCCCAGAATTCCCCAGCCAGCATCTCTGGACCTTAACTCCCAGAATTCCCCAGTCCATCCCAGCTAACTTCTATCGCTAAGCAAGATGGCTGTTGTGAAAGTCACGTCCAATTTTACCTTCTTCTTTTTTTGCCACAATTGTTATGCCAACCGCTGTGGTTGTTAAGTGAATCACACGGTCATTAAACAAGTCTCTCTTTTCCCATGGGCTTTGCTTGTTGAAAGTCAACTGAGAAAGTCACAAAGGGGATAAATACATTCCAGTTGCCAAGATCCTGAATTTTGAAAAACATAACTGTAAGGGATGTTACCACAGTTTTAATGGCAAGGAGTAATTGTACGACAAATTTTCTTTCACGTATAACTTTTATTGTTTTGTCCATGTTTTACATACAAAAAGAAACAAAAATAGGAAATTAAGGGAAGGAAAAAGAGAGGGGGGAAAGAAAAATAGGAAATTAAGAAAAGGAAAAAGAGACCGAAGAAAAAAAGACTTCCCACTCTTTTAAGCACTGTACAAGATAACATTACAACCTCAACTTTTTACTTTTACATGTTCGTATATAACTAACGCTCTCTATAACAACAAATCTATCTCATCAGCAAAACCACAGGCAAACTTTCCATTTTTATTTTTTTATTCTTTTTTTTAAAAAGTGTAGTACTTTAAAATAGATGGGGAAAAAAACATATTTTTCCCTTTAAGGTTAAAGAACCTGAAAGAATGCCGTGAATTTTCTTAATATAAATGGTGATCGTTTGTAAAGATTATTAAGTGCAAGTAGAAATAGGTATTATTTCAACAGCAGGGCAGGTAAAGCACTAAGGGTTAGATTGATTGTCCTATTCGAAGAGGGGAATATTGTATTTTTAATTAGGATATCACTTCTGGATTTTGTGCTTGTGTTGCAAGACAAATTTTCAATGATGTTGTAACTTTGAACAAATGGTTGTAAGTAGAAGACTACTTGAATGTCCCATATACATAACTTCACTTCTATGCATCACCCATATCCTTCTCTAACCAGTGTTGCAATTTGGCATTTTAAGGGCTGAAAACAGCCATCCTCTTATCCATCCTTTGAGTCATAAACCCCCCCAAATCTAAGATTATCTCCCTTCAAATAAGCAAAACCTGGTCAGAAGCCCAAAGGGCTGTTACTACATTTTGGGGTGTTTCCATAACTGCGAGAACATGAAACAAATAAATAGATTTTTAAAAAACGGCAAACCCAATGGTTCCTGGAAGCTTTTAAGAACAGACTAGATGGCCATCTGTCAGAAATAGTGTAGGGTCTCCAGCTTGGGCAGGGGGTTGGACTAGATGACCTACAAGGTCCCTTCCAACTCTAAATCTGTAAAATCTTGTAAAGTGATAGGATTTTCGGTTCGATTCCACAAACTCCCCGCAAAAGAAAAAAAAATTTTAAGTTAGGTTGAAAGACCAGATTAAGTCTTAAGATGCTTCGTATCATTTGCACGGAGGGAAGGCAAAAAAAAAAAAAAAAGGAATTAATTCAAGCTAATCTCACTTTATTAACTAAATAAAAGTGTTTTTTGTCGACCAGGCTCTTTTGCCTCCTGTTTAACTGCGGGAATCTCCAGGTCTGACTACTCTTGATTTGCTAGGCAGGGAGCAAATTTTGTTGATGTGGGCAAAATGCCTTCTGGTCCAACTGATGCCACGGAAGAGGTCAAGAGTGGCATCTCCATCTATTCAACGGGAATAGCTTTGCATTTTTCTCTTTACCCCTCTCCTTCCCTCCGTCACTTTAAGCCGTCTGCATTTTTGTTTTTCTAGGATCTTGAGTCCTTGGGAGGATGCTTGCTCCCTAGCCAGGCTTATTAGAAAAAAGTAAATGAAGTTTCAAGAATCCTGCCTCTCACCTGTATAATCTTGCTGATAATGCATTCTGCTCATCAGCTGTTGGAAAGGGCAGCTATACACATAAAATAAATAGGATTTTCTCCTCCGAACAAAATCCAACGGAGTTTCCCACTCAACAGAGAAATAATTTTAAAAACTAGAGTTAAAAATATATAAGCAAATAGACCCTTATATCACCAGCTGAACCTTGATGTCCCTCTCTGGCTATTATGGCTGACATTACAAAAGAGATTCTTAAAGCAGGCCTACTTTCAACCAGCCCTTCAAATAAATCACAAAATAAATCTTTTTGTTTTATTGTTCTCGCTTCTTTCTTACAGTTAAATAAATGAGGGCATTAAGCCCTAAAATAGCCTATAAGCTCTTTTCTATTTTAGTTCTTTCAGGCAACCACAAAACCATCTTCAATAGATTTGTTTTGGGGGATCTACTGTTGACGAGCCGTATCGTGGAAAGATTTGTCTGCCACAGCTGCTGCCCTTTGGTGGAGATGCTCATTCTTTCCAAAATATATCCCAGGGTACAAACGGTGCACAGTTTGGGTGAAACAGAGAAACTCCGGGAAACTAGAAAACAGCTTCCAGGAAAATTAGCTAGTCAAAACCATGTGGAAAGAAGGACATCAGAACAACCTTAATAGATCTGGAATAAGACTGTGGGCCTTCTGTTCCTCTTGATGAGTCAGATGTTTCTCCAAAACAGTAGGAGAAAAGGGAGACCTTGGGAGTGGAGTCAAGAGAGGACCTAGCCTAGAATCGTTACATGTCCGCAAATTTTCCAAGTCCAACACCCCTTGAATCAGTGGTAGGATTCAAACATTTTTACTACCAGTTCTGTGGGCGTGGCTTGGTGGGCATGGCTTGGTGGGCGTGGCAGAGGAAGGATACAGTAAAATTTCTCCATTCCCTCCCCTCTCCAGGGGGAAGGTTACTGCAAAATCCCCATTCCCTCCCCACCCCACTAACCTGCTTTCCAGCTCCATTCTCCTGTACAGGGCAACCAAAGAAGACCCAGCCGATCAGCTGGGACTCAGTGGGAGGAGGAGAATAGATGTGGGTGGGGCCAGAGAAAGGTGGGATTTGCCACTTCTCTGAATTACTCAAAATTTCCACTACTGGTTCTCCAGAACTGGACAGAACCTGCTGAATATCACCTCTGCCTTGAATTCCATTGAATTTTATCTAACACCAATTTACGGTTGACCATTTGTTGACTACATTCCTGTGTACAAACATGAGCCATCAATCCTCAGCTCAACTGGAGTTTAACAGGTGGTCCTATTCTTTGCACCTGACAAAAACCTAAAAAGAAGGAATCACTAGCTCCCTGGGGATGTAATTTAGACTTCCCATTCTGGTCCCTCCAGGTATTTGGGGATACCTGCCAGAATTCCCAGCTCGAATTCCCAGTTTCTTCATCTCCAAAAGAACATGCCCAGAATCTCACTCAGATCACTTAACTACTTAATTTTGATTTGTTTTCTACCTTAAGAAAGTTCAAAACATTCTCAAAGATCCATCTCATCCTGGGCACACACACACACACACACCCTTTTTTAACTATTGTCATCTGGCAGATGGTACAGAATAGTAAAACAAGGACAAATAGGCTAAAAAACAGCTCCTATCCCAGGGCAGTAAAAGTCTATTGAATTCTGCTGTATAGTGCAATATTAATGAAATATCAGGGGCCTTCAATTCAACGCACAGAATGTGAAGGAGGTGCGTTTGTGTTTATTTTCAGTCATAATGTATACTGAAGATGGTATTTAATTTCATTATACGAGGTGCAATGACAATAAACTAAACTAAACTATCTCTTTTCTAATATCATCATTGTTTTCTCCAGAACTATTCGACAGACACGACAGGATATTTCTTTTCATGAACATATATATATATATACATATTCAAATTTATTCTTATATCAGCATTTAAAACCTTTTGATACAAAAACGGTCACCCTTGGAGGCGTCTTTGTGTATAACACAAAGCAGGACATATACACGAGCCGCAGGGGGGTCAATTCCTTAGCAGAGGTTCACTGAATTGACCCCCAATTTCAAACAATCGAGTAGAGGACAACGCTTCGAAAGGGGGAACCCATGCAGGATTTCGTTGTACCGGTTATGATCTTCGTTGGGGTCACTTTTCTCAAAATACAGCTCTCCCCCATGGATATCTTTCACGTCGACCGTGAAGTTGTTGGGATTAAACCCAAACCAGACTGTACACCTGCAATCATCCGTACGGATGGAATAGCCCATGACTCGTATATCTTGAAGTAACGGCAAATCAGAATTCGGTGCAGGAATGTCTCCAGGACGCGGGTACTGGCTGAAGGCAACCGGGGTTTCTTTTCGTTTGGAGCCATGGTTCTCCTTCTCCCCGCTGGAGGATGGGAAGTACTGCACCAAGCTCTTCCCTTCACTGCAAAGAGGGACGTGGAAGGAGGGCTGAGGACACGCAGGAGGAACGGCCAGTCCAGCCAGTTCTGCAAGCGTTGGGAAGAGAGACACCAACTCAACCATTTCTTTGGGTTTTCCTGGAGTGGGAGAGGAGGAAAAATTAGAGTAGGGGGTGTCAGGTCCAAGAACGATACCTGGAGTTACTTCTTTCTATCCAGGGGTGGGATTCTACCGGTTTGGACTGGTTCGAGTGAACCGGATGTTAAATTAGCATCCGTTCGCCAAACCGGTATTTGAACCGACTGGCTGGCCCTGCTCATCCCCGCCCAGGGGTCTCCAGGTGGCCCATTTTTGATGCAGTTAAGTGCAGGGTCCATGCAGAGGCTCTGGGAGGGGGGAAAAAATGGGCCTTCCGGAAATGGGCCTGTTTCCGGCTTTCGGAGAGACTGTTTTTGCCCTCTCAAAGGCCCGAGGGAAGCTTCTGGACTCTTGGGAAGGCAAAAAACGCCCCCCCCCCCAAAAAAAGTTCCAGTAGTCCACGCCCACCATGGCCACGCCCACCCAGCAACTCGGCAGCGAACCGGTTGCTGGGATTTTTGAATTCCCCCCCCCCCCGCTTCTGTCCTTGGTTGTTCTTCACCCATAGACAGAAACTTAAAGAAAACTTAAAGAAACTATTCGCATGGCCAAAGATACACTCTGAGAATCACTCAGGAGGAGGCTTCTTAGCTCTCTCTGTCAGCAGAAAGGGATTGGGGGAAGGTAATGTATTCCAAAAATATTTTCATAGATAATTGCTAGACGGCTGAAGCTTTTGGTGCGCAAGATGATTACTGGAGAGCATGATTGATGACTCTTGGCTATGGATGTGTCCCATTGGAGAATACACATCCAGGGGGTGAGGGAAGACCAGGCTCAAGGTGGAAATGGATGATGTGTCTCAGAGTCGGCTGCGCCCAGGTAGTGCCAGCATGTTCACTCCTAATAAATTATTCTTTTAAACTCTGAGAGATGTGGCTAGAGCCGTGATGGCGAACCTATGGCACGCGTGCCATAACTGGCACACAGAGCCATTTGTCCTGGCACGCGAGCCACTGCACATGCGCGTGCCTCAAAGCTGATTTTTTTTCCCAGCTGATTTGAGGCCTTTTTCGGCCTCCCGGAGGCTTTTCAGGACGAATTATAGGCCCGTTTCATCACTTCCTGTAATTCAGCCTGAAAAGCCTTTCAGAGGCTTTTTCCAAGCCTCTGGGAGGCCGAAAAAGGCCTCAAACCAGCCAAAAAAATCACCTGTGAGGCGCAGTGCAGGTAAGGGGTTGGGGGCATGCAATTTTTGGCACAGGAGCCGAAAAAGGTTAGCCACCACTGGGCTAGAGACTCATGATTTGAATGGGGGTGGGGGGTGGATTGTCGGAGTCCTGACATCGAACGTTTGATTTTTGTACTGTTAATGCTGGATTTTTTTACCTGGAAGCCCAGAGCAGGAATCTTGAGCAAAGGGGTCAATGAATGGGAAAAATTTCTGTCCTGGATAAGAGATTGGAGTTGTCACTCCTGGCACGTAGAACATCAGTGGCACTCGCGTGGCTACGTCAAAGTTGCTGTATTTCGCCCACTCGCCGTGCTCACCCAATGACCACCCTAAATGAAATCAAGAACCATGAAGGGGAGACAGCATTGAGAGCAATCCTGTGGATCCATCCAGGAAAAAAAACGAAGAATCAAGAGTTGGATATAAAACATTAATTAGGATCGACCACAAAGTCATCGAAGAACAACCAGGCTTTTAAAATCTCCAAAGCTCTTCAGCCAACCTTAGAACGAGGTAGGAGCTGATGTCGGAAAGAGAATGGCTGAGTTGCAGAGAGGAGTCAAGCAGGGAATTAGTCTGGAATCATTACGTAAGCATAAGAGTGCTAAATGGCCGGATGCCCTTCCTGCCACCAATGAGTTTTGTTCAGCAGATATATTCCCATAATGCCCAGAGAGAGAAATATCTGCCTCTACTTAAGATCAAACTCCCAGCCTCCCGATTGTGAGGCAAGAATTCCACCTCGAGGCCACCGCACCACTCCGCAAGTTCCACCCCTCTTGAATGCCGTTTAACCTTGTCTAGTCCTTTCCAGAGGCAAAATTGCCTGGGAAGATTCCTGTGAAATAGGCGTTACGCAATGAAGTTGCCATTTCATACTCTACACGCGTTTTGTTTGTTCGCACCTGATAGGTACAGAACAGGCAAACGGTGTGCCTGATGCTACGGCCACCACTTTGGCAGCCTCAACAAATATTTGAAACGATATTTGTAGACTGAATGCGGAGGTCTTACCGTGGTCCGCGGTGAAAACAACCACGGTGTTGTGAGATAGCTCTGCCTCATCCAGGGCATTCAGCAACTTTCCCACCAGGGTATCAACGTAGGAGACGGAGGCAAAATAACTCTGGCGAATCTTCCGCTACAAAACAAGTTTGCAAAATAGGGGACAAAAAAAATGAGTGGTGGCTGCTACGCCATCAATCAAAACTGCCCCCGAGAGGCCTTAGGAGGTCTTTCAGGATGTAATCTGTTTGTAATGCACCCGTCTGTGCATCATTAATACAGATAGTCCTTGTCTTATGACCACAGCTAAGCCCAAAATTTCTGGGGCGAAGCAAGACTGCGTGAAGTGAGTTTTACAACTTGTCTTTGCTGCCGTTGTTGAGTGAATCCACCACGCCCACCCAGCAACCGGGCAGAGAACAGTGGCGTTCAAACAGTCGCTGAATGAAACTGCTGTAAGTCGAGGACTACCAGAAGGAATAAAATGGGAGACTGGACACCCAACTCCCTTATCCCACCGGCGTCTTTCAGACCACAGCCAAACTGTCACCTCATGGAAACGCAACCGAAGGGGCCCGTAAGGGAAACTCTACCTGGAAGTGTTCTGGAATGGGCCCATAAGGGAAACTGAGATTGAAGGCAGCCACGTCCTCCCTCCGCCTTAGGTCTGTCCAGGGATTGTAGGCGACGGAAGGAAGTTTTTTAGGAACTGCTGGATCAGGAGCCAAGGTGACATTTTCCAACGGGTACAATTTGAGAAATTTCTGGAGAGAAGCGATAATCCAAATTGGCTTTTTCTTTTCTTTTCTTTTTTAATAAATATTTTTATTGTATGTTTTCCTTTATTCTACCTCACATTCCCAGTTTTGCAACAACAGAATACTGGCTGTATCAAATCCTTTTTAAATATCTGTAGTATTATACACCATA